CGAAAATCGTAAGCGGGAAAAGTAGTAGACTAGAGCAAAAAATCATCTCTTGTATAACCCCATTCTTAGGGAATACGATATAGACAACTATGATGTTCCACATTCTCGGTACCCTAAGATCAAGGAAATGCTTATAAGGGATCATTTTTATGTTAAACTGCTGGCAGTCCTAACCGTCGGTCATAGACCTTGAGCTTACAGCATCCTCCCAGTAACGGTTGTTTTTAGGAGCTAGAATTTTTTTAGAAATGATGCATAGCATATTAACTACGGTAACGGCAATCTGGCATATCTCAGCCGTTATTTCATGATTCATCATATTAATATTGTAAAAAAAAATTAAAGTTACCCTTGTAGTTTAACGATTAGAATTTTACCATGGTTTAGTTCGTGCATTGCTAGTAGAAAAATATAATCGCCTGGCAATTACGACGCTCTTAAGTACCTGCCAGGCGAGTCGAAAGGTGTGCAATATACAAAATTTTTCCAAATTATAGTGCAAAAAAATCAAAGAGCAATTCTCAGGACATTTTCAGACTACTGCTTTGTTTCCGGTATACCGGCCCCTAAAAACACTACAACTTTCTGGAATATCGTATTATCCAATGAAATTTTAGCAGTATAATAACTATACATAGAAAACGATTAGCTCATTTGATTCGTCACGATGGGATTTTATAATAACCTAACAAAAGTAATCTTATATCTAAAAAATGAATTCTTGGTCGATTTCGATAGAATGAACCGGTTTTGAGAAAATCAGTCTCATTCCAATACTGTTTTATCAATTATGATACTAATTTTAATACACTGGTTCCGCCACTTTGTAAACACACAGATTTTTTTCGCAACTCCTTAATGAAAAATTGCCCGAGTATAAATGTTTAGACCGCTTTATAAAGTCTTTTTGTACAAGTTTTTTTGGGGAGGAGCAGTATTGAAACAAGCCTATATTTGTCAAAAGCAGTTCATTTTATCGAAATCAGACAAGAGTAATTTTTTCATTATAATGAAAAATTATCAATATTGTAATTGGGCTAGTCCGTTCCAGTCGCACTAATTGAGTTAATTGTTCCTATGGACACCATCATAAGAAGCCTGAAGTGTTCTCGCAGAATTTCATTGTATTATACGATATCAGTCAAAAGTTAATTAAGAAAAACCAATTGCTAGTGGCGTTCTTTAGGGACCCATATCGTTGAAACAAAGCGGTGTTTCGAAAATCATCAAAAAACAAAGTAGCCTAACAATAATCCAAAGAATCACCCCTTGAATGTTTTGGAAATCTTTTTTCTTCTATATGCCTTTCGGCTTGCCTAGCAAGTCCTTAGTAGCGTGGTAATCGCCTGACAATTATATTTTTATACTTAGCAATGTACAAAGGAAATCATGTTAGAATTTGAAGTTGTCGTACTTAATTTACCGTACTTGATATGCTATAAGTCTTCTCTAAGAAATCTCTAGGTTTTAAACGCAGCTGTTACTCGGACGGCAGGGCTATTATGTAAAAACCCTAAAAAACATAAAACAAACAGACGAAATGTCATCTTGAAGACTAGGTGTTTTTAGTGTGCAAATAGTTCATTCCACGTTTGCTCGCTATGATCTGTGTTCGCTGTCATTTCAGCAACACGTACAGCTACAAAACTAGTTCACAAGTATACAACAGCTTGTGCTAAGTTAGCATCTTGTAGAAAAACCTACGTTATGTCACAAAAAACCTATGAAATGTCAAAAAAGACTGCCCTGTATTTTTGCTCGTGAAAGTTTTCAAGTTTTTCAATAGAGAACCCGATTTAAAAACATGTAATGATCCCCCAGCGTCCCCGATGATGAATGGACCCAGCCAGAAGGAGAGAACAGAAATTACCAAGAAATCAAATGAATTGATGACACCAGCTATAGTAGATGAAAAGGACAGAACCATCCAGCGCAGACCGTGATCATCGAAAGCCAGGCCCAGCAAATAAAGGAGCTGACTGAGACAGTTAGGGATCAAAACAGTAAAATAGGCTGCCTGACCACCCAGGTAACACAGTTAATCAATAATGCAAATTTTAATTATAAATCTGACAAGGCTGTCAATTTAAAAAGACCTCTTGAAAATTTAACTGACGTGACATCGACCGACGATGAAATACAGAATGACGTAGGTATTCATCCAGGCCAAGTCTAGGAAAAGACGCATCGACAAAACGAACAAAACCGACAAGACGGACTTCCCACCTCTTCCAAAAACAAAATCAAAATTCAAGTTGACAGTCCCCTCAAAACCTTCTGCTTTATTAAACGTATCAACTTCTTCTGCCACTTGTCCTATGACGGTCGATCTTCCCAATCTTTGGCCACAAGTGGCGACATCTAAACTACACCTTTATAAGCTTAGGCATTAAGATAGAACGCGCAGTTGCCGTTGATGCGGGAATCAGGATTTTGCCGAAAACTGAGGATGACTACCGAAGAATCGTTCGCCTGTTCAGGGAGGAGGACGTGCCCCATCATACGTTCCCTCTTCCTTCAGAAAGAAATATTCACGCGGTAGTCAGAGGCATACCCGCAATGTTTTCGGAACAGGACATCAAAGGGGAAATAGAACAGAGGGGATATACTCCTCTCCACATTATCCGACTCAAACGCAGTGGCGGCGCACCCATGCCTTTGGTGGTCGTGATACTGCCCAAGATTGAAAAGTCTCAGCAGCTGTTCAATGAACATGAGCTGCTGGGTCTAGCAATCAGAGTTGAAGTTCAAAAGGGCTCTAGACTTATTGGGCAGTGTCACCGCTGCCAAAGGTATGGTCACGCGCAGTCGGACTGCACAGCACCTCCCAAATGTTTAAAATGTGCTTCCGACCACATGACACATTTATGCCCCCTCACAGGACAAGAGGAGCGAAAGTGTGCGAACTGTGGAGGGGCGCATCCCGCTAACAGTTCCACTTGCAGATTCACCCCCAGGCGAAGTCATAGCACAAAGACGCAGCAAGTCATACGCGGAAGCAGCCGTCTCAACATCTTCGGCAGCCCCCTCTGTTCAACCCACTTTGAATACGCAGAATGTGGACCTAGGAACTGCGCTTAGGTCGCTTCAACAAATAATAAGTCCCCTGATTAGCGCCACTAAGGCATTGCAGGCGATCTTTCCGCAGCCATTGAATGGCTAAGTACAATAGACAACCTGCTTTTAAATCTCGAAACTGTACTTTTACTCCCCTTGTGTTGAAAGCATACGAACTTTATTTTGAAATTAAAGTTGGCGACCACGATAAGCTATGGGTCCCTCATATATGTTGTAAGACTTGTGTAACGTTGTTAACAGGTTGGTTAAGAAGCGACAATCGTAAAATGCCCTTTCCGGTATCAATGGTTTGGAGAGACCCGAGAGACCATACTACTTACTGATTGCTGTTTTTGTCTCACAAATATTAAAGGTATCGGTCCAAAATCGAAACATACTCTTAAGTATTGTAGCTTTGCGGCCAGTTAAGCATAGTGATGAACTCCCAATTCCACCAGAATCTTGGTGTTTGGATGAAAAAGTCGAATCCACCGTTTCTGAAAGTGATGGTACAGAAAGCGTAAAAATGTTCAATCCTCCGTTTGATCTGCCAGGATGTTCAACAGCGTCGCATTTGATCAGCGAACTTAATGACTTCAAGAATTAAATCTGTCGAATAATGACGAATAGTAGTCAAAAAAGACCGACAAAATGTCACTTTTCAAGATAAGTAGTACCCGTGCGGGTCTTATCAGTGTGGAAGCTAGGCTGAAAAGACTTCCTAGTTCTGAACTGAAAACTTCCTGCAGTTGCTGCAGCCTTTTTGTTTGGTGTTAATCGTACCTTGTTTTTAATGAGGAAAATGAGTTGTAAGGTCGAGTACTGTTTGTGCGTTTCTTTTATGCAAACATACTTCTAACTTTTCAGAAACGAGCGGTAATTAACTTTAAATTTTCGCTCAATTGCAATTAATTTCTTATATCATCTATCAAATTCAAGGTTGAAAGCGATGAAACTGCGTCTGTTCCAGTTGCGATCCAGAATTTAACTTTTTAGATTGAGTAAAATCTTTGTAAAATATTTGTTTTTTAATGTAAAATGCTTATGCATGTGTACGGTAAAAATGTTTCGAACATTTCCCATTCGCTAATACAACTGATACTTTGTAGAGAAACGTCACATACACATATCTAAACGACAAAAGACTTTTATGAAGAGAGTTCATCGTACACGTGACTTAAACTTATATTTTCTGAATAGTCTGTATTTGATACGAGTGCATTATGTAATTAATAAAACAATTACGCCATATAGTAGTAGCGTTAGATTACCGACTGCAAACCACGCGATGCAAAAAGGATGAAAGTATGTATAATTTGCAGTTTATGTTTTTGTCCTTTGAGATCAATATGGCAGTTGAATTAAACCAGCGAATACCCGCAGAGCTGATGGCAATAATAGTTCATAAACTCAGGTTGTGAAGTAGATATGCGTAATCTAAGTATATCCTGGAATTTTCTCATTTTCATCATCTTTTTGATAGAAAAGTGTACTAGGTTACAAAGACAACTCAAAGTTCGATTTTCAAAATCAAGGTGTGACCCTGTGGTAAGACTATTTTGTGATCTGGCGGAAAATTATATGAAATATATCATAACTACAAAACTTTTCTCTCGTCATATGTACGAGTAGTTCATCACGATCTTTTAGCAAAACACAAATTATCGGTATGAGAAACCGGATAATTTCTGCATGCAGTTCAATAGGAAATGCTGCTTTTGTTTGAAAGAGGCTGGTAATTTGAAGATTGAGGTATGCCAATATGTCTGAAGGTGGAACAGTTTATGTAGATTAAGCAGCCTCACATGTGATTTGAATATTTGAAAATGTAGTTCACTCTGTGTCTTCGAGTCGGAGCTGTTTTCCTAAATGAAAAAAGTATCCTAATCTCTCAAAGAATCGCTTTAAATTATTTGGCACGATTGTCTAAGGTAACATGTTACCTGTATTTTTTGTTGTGTATCTTGACCAAAGATCGCGGTAACAGATTGACTTCCATGTTCGACTGTTCGTGCTGTTGACATATCTATTTGAGTCTGACCATTTCGTTCCGCTCTGACGAGTGGTGTAGTAGCTGAGTTACCAGGATGCGTTGCCACAGTCATGTCTACCATGTGGACGCACGCTGTGGTGCAAAGCACCAACATTGCTGTATGGCCCTGAAAAAAAAAGATATTGGAATGAATATACACACAAGCTCCAAACAGGATTTTTCGAACGCGTTCATGACTATACCCTACTGAAATTTCAATTAATTCGAATCAAAACAAATACGGACACTCGCTCACTCCTTCTGTTCGCTTGTCGCTGCCTGCCCAGGTATTTGTGAGTTTTTGGTCATTAGCAACGCTGAAATTTGAACATCGCTCGCTTGTGTTTGTTTTGTACGGGAATTTAACGAGATTTGAATATAGTATTTATTTATCACTGGTGAACAAAATTAAAATAATTTTTGTGACATGGTCAAAACAAGGTGGTTATTATGTAAAACGTACCCAAAAAGCTGGAAATAGCATTCGATTTTTTTTATCACCCATGATTTTCTTGCAATAAGGCATTTTATTTGCTGCTTATACTCGTAAAATATAAGGATATGTGTGTAAGAGTACTCGAGTAAAGATTAATCTCAGAATGTTGTTGTCGATGTTTTACGGCGATATGTTGCTCCTGAAGTATCGCTTATCAATGTCCAGCAATAATCAGCAAGCAAATTGACACTCCATTTGCCTTGATACCGTTTTTCCATGGCAGAAATGTCTTGGTTGAACCGTTCGCCATGTTCGTCACTTACCGCATCTAAATTTTCCGGGAAAAAATCCAAAAAATGGATTTTTGAAGACATGATACATCCCATTGCTTTATAAGCATTAGTTAGTTCACTCACAATATCTTTATAATTGTCCGCCTTCACATTGCCTAAAAAATTTGCTGTAACTGATTTAAAAGCATTCCAAGCTCGTAATTCAGTTTCATTCCGAGCACTGTCTAATACATCATCATCCTTCATGATTTTCCATATTTTTGGACCCAGAAATATGCCCTCTTTAATTTCTGCCTAAGTCTCGGAAATGTTTGTTTTAAATGCAGAAACCCTCTTCCATTTCGATCCATAGCTTTCACAAAAATTTTCATCAGTCCCAACTTAATATGCAAAGATGGAAGCAACACGTTTTTGGGATCAACTAGTGGTTCATGAACAATGTTTTTGAGGCCCGGAGTTAATATCTGACGTAGTGGCCACTCCTTCTGTTCATAATGACGATCTCGCGCACGACTGCTCCATTCCCAAAGAAAACAACAATATTTGGTATATACCAGTTGCATTCCAAGAAGAAGGGCTATTACCTTTAAATCTGCACATATGAGCCATCCATATTCATTATAACAGATATGCTCTAACAGATATTTTCATATGATTCCTTCATATGAACTGCGTGCGCTATACGTACAGATGGATATTTATTACCGTTGTGTACTTGTGTGCTTTTAAACTAAGCTTAGAGGGATCAATGAACAGGCGCGATCATTGGGATCATGTTTCTGTCCTAACGCGTCAAACAAATTGTTGACATCGGAGCAATATATCAACTCCCTTTCTTGATGGAAACAGTGTTTGAGGTCTTGTTACCGTTTTCAGTAAAAAGTAATGTTAACATCACCGTGGAGAAGATTCCATATCTTTAGTCTTGACGCTAAAAGTTCTGACTGGGAGTTTGACAGATTTAATTCTCGAACTAAGTCAGTAAGTTCGCCCTGTGTGATCAAATGCGGAGCTGTTGAACATCCTGGCATATCAAACGGAGGATTGAAAATTTTTACGCTTTCTGTACCATCACTTTTAGAATCGGTGGATTCGACTTTTTCATCCAAACACCAAGATTCTGGTGGAATTGGGACAGAAAGTTCATCACTATGCTTAACTGGCCGCAAAGCTACAATACTTAACAGTATGTTTCGATTTTTGTACGATACCTTTAATATTTGTGAGGCAAAAATAGCAATCAGTAGTATGGTCTCTCGGGTCTCTCCAAACCATTGATACCGGAAAGGGCATTTTACGATTGTCGCCTCTTAACCAACCTGTTAACAACGTTACACAAGTCTTACAACATATATGAGGGACCCATAGCTTATCTTGGTCGCCAACTTTAATTCCAAAATAAGTTCGTATGCTTTCAACACAAGGGGAGTAAAAGTACATTTTTGGAATTTAAAAGTTAGCTCTCCGCACACATAACAAAACTGATCCCACTATCTACACAATTTCTAGGCATTGTCCATAAAGCTAGTCTCGATCACAACCAAACAAAAACCAACACGGCGTCTTAACAAAAATTAACAGTACTCAGAATATCTCAGTACTCTTCATCACAGAAAACGTAACTGACTCGGCTGCTATTAGTCTACTAGTAAACGCAATATGCTCTCTAAACATAGAGCTCGCATATAATAAACAGGAATAGACAGGTCTTAACATTATATATGTGCGTCATCGCATAAACGCCGAGAAATGCAGCATTATGAGATGTTACGTGTTGTAATTCATAAAAGTAGATGTTACCGAATATCTCTGGGTGATAGGAAAATTCTATTTTTAGATTTAATTTAACGATCTCAAAATACATAAGAAAACCCAAAAATTGTCGTGTCACAAATCGTATGTTTATCAGTGTAATTTTGACTTCTGCTACCCGTGATTCCTTAGCTTCTCCAGTTTAAAACAAAATGGGGGAATTTCATTGTTTTTAGTTTTTGCTTCTTTCTACTTCGTTTCTTCGTATGTCCTTTTTTTCTTGTCGCATATTCGCAGCTTCCCTTTCTGATGCTGTCATGAAAGGTAACAGCTTTAGATTTATGTGTATTGGTGAAAAGAATTTGAATATCTTGGGCTATTGTTACGCTGACGCTGGATTACTTATGTTTACTCAGTTTTTGCTACACACATCACAAGGCATAAACACCATTTCATTCTGTTACCGTCCACAGAATCGCAGACCTATTCGGTCTTGCAACGTGGACTGGTAAAGTGACTGGAAAGTTATGTGATAGCAAAAATGTTCCATAATCCTTGAACCTGTATTAAGCTGCATCAGTATTATGAAATCCAGAGATTAAAAAACATAAAATCAGTCTATGCAATGTTAGCATCCACAATTTCCTTCGACAAAAACGTTTTTTTTCTCTTTTCGCTTCTCGCGCCTACTGGCGAGGAAGTATTGTAATGAGATTTGATAGTTTTTATGTTATTTGACATGTACCTCTCGAAAAACCCTCTCACTCATTTCCTTCTGTTTGTCTGTCTGTCTGTTTGCTAATCCTTGGTCTGTCTAAAACTTGGAAAGTACCTCTCGGAGTTGAATGAAATTTTCGTACAAGGTTACTACTATACCAAGGACGAAAAAGCTTTGTAGTTTTTGAAAATCGGCTAAAAACTAAAAAATGAAAATCGATTAAATTTCATTTTTTGACGATTCGAAGGCCCCTGATCATTTTCTAAAAAAGCCTAAAATGCACTTCAGCAATGTCAAAAATAATGTAGTATTTAACCAAGTGTTTAAAAATTGGAAATAGCCATTTTTAGAGGTAAGACTGTAATCGTTATAACTCGAAAACTGTCAACGACAAAGATGGGTAATTGTTGATTTAGGTTAAGTGACATTCAACAAGTGTAATTATGCAACAAAAATCGAGTCGAAAAATTTTACCACGAATGCGAGTTTTCGACTTGTCTGAGACGTTACTTAATTTATTTTTTGTTCCAGTTCAACTTGAACATCATCGATCTGCCAGACGTGTTGTTCGAAACGAAGCGAGTCCTGAACGGCGAAGTACTCTCCACATCCCTGCCGCTTTGCGTCGAGATCAGCTTACGTACCGCTGAAGGGGACAAAATGGTGCTGGAGACCTGGAGTTTCGGCATTCTGCCTGAACGGTGTGACTGGTTGCCCAGGATCGTAAACTCCGTCTACAATAGGATGACCATAATGCTCAAGTCGCTGGCCACAGTCACCAGGGTGTTGCCTGCGTACAAGCTGTCCAGGAAACAGGTAACTGAAGTAGAAATTAGTAGATGCTTATTTTCATTTGTGGAATTTCTTACAGTTCTAATAAGTGATCCATATATAAATGTAAAATATATCATCAAATAGAGTAAGGAGTATCTCAAGAGCCAACTAAAATCCTGCAGAATGATTTGCCAAGACTATGCCAAGAACGAAAAAGCTTTGTAGTTCTTGGAAATCGGTTCAGTGGCGGCGAAGTAAAAGGCCAAAAACAAAAAAACAACGTAACGTTTCAGAGAATCCTGATCATTATCGGAAATTTTGTTTTGTTGGGATTAAACATTGAGGGTTGAAAGTTGCAGGAGATAGGGAAGCTTATATCTCAATTTTTGACGGTATATTTATACTGCTCCAACGCCAGCAGTGCTACGCACCTATTAGACGTATGACACACATTATTATGGCAGTAATTCTGCGTATTTTTACATTTGTGCTTTTTCATGCCAGCCACAAACGCTACGGCTTTAAGGTATTTTTCTATTATCTATTATCGAAAGTAATACTTCAGACTAAATTCAACGGGTTAGCTCTTCTTTATGTGAATTATGACATTGAGGTTACATCTGAGGAAGTGTTATAAAGATTTTATAAAATAGGCAAATACAGATTTGATTTGAGTGTCAAAAATTGCTGCTTATATTCGCATTTTCAACGAAATTATTCCTCACCGACCTTAATCACAAGCCAAGCATCTGATTTTCCTTGTCCCCTTTGAATCCGCCCTAGCCTATTTTCCGGCAACAATTTTGTACTTAGAACTATACTAAGTGACATATAAATCCGAACACCCAGTTTAAATGATTTTATTTTAATAAAATTTTGTATAAGTACTTAATTAAGCATAATAAGTAAATGATAAAAATTTCAAAATGATTGCACTGCTTTAAAGCCCTTTGACCTTTAATAATGTGTGGATGCACCCTGATGTGCTACGCATTCTCCAACGCGCCTAGGCATGCTTCTGATCAGGTTGTCAATGTCCTCCTGTGGTATCTTATTCCAGGCAACCACCAACTCCTCCCGAAGTGCTTCTAGAGTCTGAGGAGGACGTTGCAAATTGAGCAATCTCCTACCCATCATATCCCACACGTGCTCAA